AATGGTTTTAAGTAATTGGATATAGCTATCGGGCAGGGTTCTTCCAGTGTCCCTATTTGATATTATGTTGATCTTATTTGTTTTTGCTATTAACAATGCTTCCATCCACTTCCTTTGGTGCCACCTTGTCTCGTTTCTTAAGACGGAGGTGTCCTTCCAGTTGATGTTGTGACCAAGGTGGTTGGCATGCTCCGACAGTGCAGACTTATCTGTCTGGCCGAGTCTAACACACCTTTCATGTTTTGAAACTCTAGTCTTCAGAGATCTCTTGGTCTCACCAATGTAGACGGTAGAGCAGTATTGTTTCTATAAACCTCATCAGAGTTTGAATGTGCGAAGGTACATTTTCTTGTCTAGTTCTTTAGAATGTATTTTTGCAGATTTTAAATTGTTACACCTCGGTGGCAATGCAGTGCCATGGCACTTCTGAAATATGACTTCATGATGCGCCTCCAGGCGCGTAGCGTGGAGTTTTTGGCTAGTACGCACATGTMAGGGAATACACATATTTTGGATCTGGGGGTCTAACGACCGCCAAAGGCGGGAATATTAAGGGAGTCTGGACATCCCCCAGAAAAATGTTTGAAATAATAACTCTTGCAAATGCGATTTCCAGCGTTTTGAGAGACTCTGAGGGCATTTAAAAGGGATCAATTTTATGTGATTTTTTCAGGAATTTTTGTSAAAATTTTAGTATTTCCTTGCGACAGTCACTAGTACGCACGTGCATTTATGCGTAAAGGACGCTTGCTTCGCGCCTGGCCTCAGTGCACTAAGCGATCGCTCAGATTTTTTTCATTTTTTCATGGCAGAACATTTTCACTAGGAGACATAACTTGCAAACTTAATCTATAATACCTCTTCGAGATGACGATAAACTAAGAAGGRCAGTCTTAACGTTTTCCGTTTGTTAAGCTTTTCTTTGCCGTGAACAGAGAAATACAATTGTTTGAAATGCTTTCTTGTCGAATCATCGTAAGCAACAGTACAAACGCTGTCAAGCTCTTCTTTGAAGTACTATACTATCCTTGGCATGCTTTATATAGAAGCTGCTCCAAATTTGCGAAGATCTTACARCCATTTTGATCGAATCGAAAGCCGGCACTATATTTCCGACGCGCCGAATCAAAGTCTTGACAAAATAASGTGACACGTATATTCGATCATTTTTCTTTATCAACTTCAAAAGTTGGTTTGGTTGAAGCCGGACCAACCGTACCGGTGGCTACGCCCGAATTGAGTTGCTACGGATCCGTGATATATCTACATCTCGTCGGGCTCTCTTGAGATTTCTACGATCTTCTGGTTCGCTTTCAATAACAGCAACTCATCAAATTTATCATCTTTACGATATACGAGTATCCATAAATTCTCCACATGCTGAATCAAATCAGTACACAAACTCTTCTGTCACATCATAAGTACATTTCGTCTATTGTAGCTCATTATCTAGTCTCTTTCAACAGCCGCGACTTCCGGTCTCGTCAAATTAAAATTTGACGAGACCGGAAGTCGCGGCTGTTGAAAGAGACTACTCATTATCCTACATATGACTTTTTCCTTCTCCCTTAAATGTTGCTAATCTTTCATAGCAAAGATTTTGTATCTTTCCATTCTTCTGTTTCAAAAATATCAACATTCCCCCCCCCTCGCCCATTTTTCTTTTATGTTTTTTCTAATCCTCCCTAATCCCCCCTAATTCCACATGTGACCCTCTGCCATTCATTATGAACGCTGACTTAAGAAGAACTATTGTTTCAGGCTGATCATGAATGGCCGATTCCTGGTACGCCGTTGACGACATCATTTTGTTTGTATATAGTTATTTATAGATAATTTTATGATGAATAATTATATATATTTCACTCTAGGCCCCTGAAACCATAACCGTGGAATTTTTGAAGAAGCACTTTGCTTTCTTTGACAAAGAGCATGAGGACATGGTAAAAGGACTTGCTGGTGGATGCCCAGCATTCAAGGATGGCTGCCCCTTCAAGAATTTGAAGGATGTAGGAGAGTTGAAAGCAAAACTAGGAGAAATGCGCGACCAGCATAAATACACTGCAGCCGGCAAAGCTAACTTCGACAATTTTTTGGAGGTGAGTCAGCTTCTATGATATAGAAGTAGAATGCTTTTACAGCCAAACCTATACTGAAGCGTTCCTATCGAGGTTGGAAGGCTCGATTTATTATTCCAAATTTGGTTCCAAATTTATATTTAAACGTGCAAAAACAAAACCGACAATGTGAATTTCAAATCTGACGTCGATTTGAACCTCGATTCCTGATTGGATTATTCCAATAATAAAACGAAGTGCATGTTGGGTAAAGCGCGGGAATGACGTTCACTCGTTCGCGGCAGTGCATTCCAAAAGTTGTTTCACGATGTCGACGATACAAGGATGGTTTCTGATGCTTCCAAACCTCTATGTCCTCCAKAATATCATATGTCAAAACAACAGGCTGCTTACCGCTATGTCCTAACGGATTGACAGAGGCATACCGACGATAATGTTCGATGACGTTTGTTACGCACCGAAGAGTTACGCGAAGCTAGCCGTTCAGAACTTCCGTTTTTGTGAGTCCGCCGTTAAATAATTGTATAATGTGTTGTCTTTCAGCAATCGATAAAGGTTTTCCTGGGGCGTACGACCTCTGAAGACTATTCACCGCCGCCATTTTTTTTCGAAATATGCAACGTACTGTTTATTTTTGGAATAATCCAATCAGGAATCGAGGTTCAAATCGACGTCAGATTTGAAATTTACATTGTCGGTTTTGTTTTTGCACGTTTAAATATAAATTTGAAACCAAATTTGGAATAATAAATCGAGCCTTCCAACCTCGATAGGAACGCTTCAGTAGGTTTGGCTGTAATAGTCGCTACTTTCAAATAATTGCTATTGAYATATAGTTAAATTATTTCATCTTTTTTCTCGCTTTGTCATTGGACGTTTCAGGGTCATGTGCCAGTAGCTAAAATAAAAAAAAATATATAAAGACTTTATTARAATATGTCTATCCAATCAAGGACTAATAGATTATAATATACAATTGAGACTATAGTTTATATTCAATAGAAATTCATAAAAGTACCTTAGATCAAATGTTGGCAGCCGAATGGGTTTCACCTCGTGAAGCATTGTGATTGTCGGGAAACGAAACAAACCGTTTCCCCTGGGAACACTCATTAAGTGTATAAWGCTGYAGTACGTAATCAGCCTCTCTTGGAGMGGGAAAYAAGGGCGTATTGACGGGGTTYTTACAAACAAAATTCTCACTATGACGTCACATCCAAAATTGCCTTTTTATCTTTTTTTGTTGTATTTGTTCGCTTGTTACTTTTAAATTTCTCGTTTCCTTAATTCATATACTCGGTCCCTTAGCAGTAAATTTATATATTTTTATTCTCAATCATATGTTTAGCTTCTCCATGCAGCCGCTGGTCGAGAAGTCCTTAGACGTGGCCATTGTCCTTTCTTTAAGAATGGCTGTTGCTTCAAGACTGACATGAATGGCCAATATGTGGTATSCTGTTKAATCGATTTGTATGGTCAGGCATTACCAATTTATCTAATATTTAAATCTAGGCCCCTGAAACCATAACAGTGGAATTTTTGAAGAAGCACTTTGCTGTCTTTGACAAAGGACATGAGGACGTGGTAAAAGGACTTGGTGGTGGATGCCCAGCATTCAAGAATGGCTGCCCCTTCAAGAATTTGGAGGATGTAGGAGAGTTGAAAGCAAAACTCGGAGATATGCGCGGCCAGCATAAATACACTGCAGCCGGCAAAGCTAACTTCGACAAATTTTTGGAAGTGAGTCTGCTGCTATTATATAAAATTAKAATGTTTTCGAAGTACACTACTTTCAAGTAATTTTTGATATCTGCAGTATATCTGCAGTATTCTCCAGGCTCTCCTGGAGAAACAAAAGCGTATTGTTCGGAGATGCCTTCAAAGGTAAATAACCAGGCTCAATTTATCCATAATTCAATTTATCTGTCCTCGATAATATCTATTAGATAATAAAATGAGTYTCTTACCTTCCCGTTATGAAATATTTCAATTTTCAAAGGGTTTACGCCATTTTAGATACGCACATTTGTGTCCTTTGGTTGCCCTACTAGGGACAGTGCAATRATTATCATGGAGGYTTAGTATCAGGATTAAGCTTATGACTTGAATAAGGGAGGGAGGCAACGTGCAAGGTAATCAAGTAAAGAGAGCATCTAACTGTAATTTGAAATCCATCACAAAGCTAAAAAAACAGTAACCATCACATTATCAATGCAGTGATCAAAAGAACATACACCACTATTCGAGCAAGAGTATGGCGCGGAGTTCCCGCGTGTGGCAAGTACTCTGACAGCTTTGTGAGTCAGACTGCCCCTCCAGTCGTTAGCGCAAGATAGCTAAGGGGTACTAGTTCTAATATATAAGCTTCTCACATAGTCCGCATTAAGTTAGAGCATAGTAAKTATGGTTAGAAAGTCATCTAGCATTGAAGGAAGGGGAGGGGGTGTAGTCTCATTTRTCAGGTATGGTTATTGATTCCAAATTGTACTCAACGTCGTGCGATTTCCTATACAGCTAATTCAGTTATTCAGGAGTAATTCATATTTGTATTATTATTCATATTTCTAGCTTCTCCATGCAGCCGCTGGTCGAGAAGTCCTCAAACGTGGACATTGTCCTTTCTTTAAGAATGGCTGTTGCTTCAAGACTGACATGAGTGGTCAATATGTGGTATGTTGGTGACCATTTATATGGTCAGGAAATTAATTTTTCCACCAACTTATTTAATGTTTTTATCTCTAGGCCCCTGAAACAATAACCATGGAATTTTTGAAGCATCACTTTGCTTTCTTTGACAAAGAACATGGGGACATGGTTAAAGGACTTGGTSGTGGATGCCCAGCATTCAAGGATGGCTGTCCCTTCAAGAATTTGAAGGATGTAGGAGAGTTGAAAGCAAAACTAGGAGAAATGCGCGACAAGCATAAATGTACCGAAGCCGGCAAAGCTAACTTCGACAAATTTTTGGAAGTGAGTCAGCTAATTCTAAATGATATAGACGCAAAATTATTTCAATAGCCGCTGCGGCTTTAAGTAATATGTACAATATGAGCAGGCCATCTGCATGTGGATTCACAACTCTCTTCATGGGTTATGATTTCAATTGTCCTTCGCCTTATGAATATTAATGACTTTTATAAAAATAAATACCTACATCAGAATAGTAGTTTAGGTCCCTACTTGGGCTTCAATAATTAATAATATCCTAATAATATTAATAATGTTAATATATTGTGCATTCCAGTTTAAGGCTTCAATTATTAATAATATCCTAATTATAATTAATAATGTTGATATATTCTGCATTCCAGTGGAATGTTTATGTGAATATTTATTATTTTGAATAATCAATAATTCTTTTGAAATCAGTTTTGCGCGTGCATTCCATTTGAAGAGTGAAGGTTATGTATTTGTGGGTTTGTGGAGTGTAACGGTTTTTTTTTAGCTCAATTCATTTTTATTTCAAGCGGAAATGTTTCACTTTATTGAAGAACAGATAGGAGAGAAAAGAGGAGATTTTTGGGTGGCTTTCCCACCGCGTTATGACTTTATGAACGAACTCGAGGTTTGTAAAGAGCCATCAAGTGAAGCATTGCAGAAAAAAATCAATGGATTGAATAACGAACTGATTTCCGGTTTAGAAATCGAATTGTTTGAATTTAAAACTACTGTCGATGTTATTCAAGATTTGGAAAGCACGCTTAGAGATAAACGTTTCAGCGAGACCATGAAAACTTTCGAATTGTATCGAGGACACCAACGCGAGGGCGTTTTGATAAAGTCGCGTGACGTACGTAGAGGAATAAAAATATGGGATGGTCGACATCATCCGGTGTCGAGTGTCAATGAAATGCTTGAATTCTTGGACAAGCTGATTGAGAGAGTGTCGAACAAATTCCTTAATAAACGCTTTTAAGAGGCAAAAGTCAAAGAGATCAACCGCTGCTTGATGAGCGACCGAGGTTATTGGCATTTTGAGGCGGGATCAGAATGGACGTTGAAAGAAGTATCACCGTTAGTTTTGCTTGGTTTGAGCGTCTCCACGTGATTCCACATTCCAGGTTAGAACGCTGAATGTTCAACGAACACATTCTAGTTGCAAACAAATGGAGAGGATTAAGTCCGCATGCCACTGGTGATCGTTGTTGATACAAAGAGATTCACCTCGAGAGTGAGAGTGGATTCCAGTTATACAAACTGCGTCGTAAGATCAAACAGCAGTCCAGAGGACGAGTTGAATATACAAAGAACTAAAGAACCAAAGTCGTTTAAAAACAAAAAAGGGGATTAGGAGTATGTGTAGGGAATTAATTATACTGGCATGTTGAGAAAAATACGTTTGAGTGGGTTATTATACGATATATTTTTCAATTTGTTTGCATTGACTTCAAAACTTTTTAGAAGAAGATAGCGCTGTAGAAGTGTGCATTTGTCAAATATTTAACAATGTCTAATTCCCAGAGTCATTATCCGAGTGTTGAGGTCAAAGTTTTTCCTGGCGAGGACAAATACGAATATATTTACGTCATCAAAATAACAATTCTAACAAGAAACCAGACACCAAATCGTTGACCTATGAAGAATGGCAAACACTAAAAAAGTCTGCACCTGCAATCGACGTGCGAGCAAATATGGAATCTGTCGAAAACCAAGGATATTATAACGACGCAGTCCATGGAGCACTGCGACCAAATACAGAATGACGAGTCTGGTGGCGTGAATTCCAGTTGGAACATGCTTCCTTTGCAGGCTGCTGAGAATTCTCAATGTGTTTCTGAAACTCGAACTCTATTTCAAACTACACTGTTGACGAAAACGTTATTGCCGATCTTCTCGCGATATTGCAGCAAACGGGACAGCTCCAATAATCAAATGTATCAGACGTTTAAAGTTTAAGCAATATTTTATTCATTTTAATCATGTATCTGTATTATCTGTATCTTGTGTTTCTGTTCTTTTTTATTTGGTGTTTTTTATTACGTGGGCTTCCTGTGGAAGTCCACGTCTAAAAATGCAACTGGCGTTTTCGTCGTGGTGGTGAATATTACGCTTCAAATTGGTAGCGCATCGATAGCGCATGCGTTACAGTCTCAGTTTCCATGGAGATGTCAAAATAAACCAATCAGCGATTTTTGGTAGCGCCTGCGTTGCAGATGGACTGCAGTCTCAGAATGAAAACAAAATGGCTGACAGACGGCGGCAAAAAGTTGTCTCGTTTCAAATGGTTCTAAAATGTAGCTAAAATGCTCTAAAGAGCTGAAAATCTTACAAAATCAACTGATTACCATCCAAACGACATGGATTGAGGTATATAATTCAAGATTAGCGGATGATTCGTGCAGAAATGACTGGGCATTTTCTACCGCCTACTCGAAGAGCACTACTTCTTCGTCACACAAGTGTTCGATGTCAAACACAAAATCTTCAAAAATAAGAAATCACATGGATATTTAAGGTTCATACTTTGACAGAAAACAATCATT